AAAAAATAATTGAAAATAATATGTCATTGTTAGGGTTGAATATTAATTTAAAATCTCTTTTGCAGTCATACAATATCTTAATATTCATTTAAATTTGAAGTGAAAATGTTAGTCGGAGAATCGATCCAAACTCCAGAGGTGTGACCGCCAATATTGAAATGTGAATGTATATATTAATTTTTAATTAAAATCGGATAATAAGTACTTGTTATGGGTTTTTAAAACTTACATACACGTGAATATAAGTTTTAAAAACTCATAACATGTTCTTATTATCCGATTTTAATTAAAAAGAAATATATATATATTCACATTTCAATATTGGCGCAATAATTATTAACAATATTGAGCCATCCAGTATGTTGCATATAGCCAATATTGTACGAATATATTTTGCCACATGGGTTAAGACAGCTAAACTGAATTTGCTGTCTTTCGTCAGCATTTGAGGCAACGTACGGGGCTACTTAATGTTGACGACCTATGATAATGACCTCCTTTCAGCTGCAAGCCTTAGAAAGTAGCAAATCGGCATGCTGCAGTGTTGTGACTCTAATATCTGCTTTACAACCCATTTTTTTGTTATTTAAGCGTTAAATTTTGATAGTTCAATGGAACAACGATGCCAGCGACGTCTTTCCTTTCTGGGCGCTTTAACACCTCTGTTATCGAATTCGTGAACTATTTATCAATATTTGAATAGCCTCTTGTTAACGTATTATCATAACATTGGCTGACCCCCGATGAGCAACGAAAGATTTCCAACACAGTCACAAGTTTGCTGCATCTGTTCGATGAATTTACTCAACTTTTAACCTTCTGAGCGATCAATTTTGCAGGGCTGTACGCTGAAATGCTTCAGGCAATTAACGTGCATTTTTTATTTGTGACAATTTCTTCACTGGACCACTTATTTATTGGCCTTGACATAGAAACTTTCACTTTATTTTGCGTATGAAAAGAACAAGTCACGACTAGCCAGCTGATCATTGTCGCTAAATGAAGTACGCGGCATTAAATAATTATTTTGCAAGGGATTTTTTAATTAATTTTTCAGTTGAGGGGTTGGGAGGTGAAAAATGTCTAAGTTTAACAAAAACACTATATTAAGTCAACTAAAAAATATGTTATACGAAAGCGAAAATTGGGAAGAACCAATACATCCTTGGTCTATAGAAGAACTTTAAAACTTTGCTACTTTTACAACTTTAGTTAAATGAAATTTGATTCTATTTCAACTACGTTTTCCTCACAATGATTTTCACATTTTCATATTTCACTTTAGGAAACTGAGTGGCGAGGCCCTAGTTTATATCTGCGATTTGATCAATGAATAAACTTCGAATTTTATGTAACATTTATCTGAAAAACCACTGAAAGTACTAATATGAGCTACGCCATGCTGTTCTATTTTTGAAGATCTCTAATCACATGCGATAAAAATATCTTCATCAATAGATAAAAGTATATTTTAAGTGCAATACTCTGATAATCGCGGCTTCTCAACATTGTCACGTACTGCATGTGGCAAAAACGACATTTCTTTTCAGAAAAAGCTCACTTAAATTCAAATTTGCAAATACTTTTGGGGTGAAAAGCGAGAGGATCAATAGCATACAAAATTGTAAATTTGAAAGTAAACCGGTCAACAAAGTCGGCGTTACACTGAGAAATTTGGACCAACTTTGGAACTCGATAATTTCTGATTGTTGCCAGCGATTCAATTTACAGTTGAGTCCGGATATAACGAACTTGAAAAATGAACTAAAAC